GCAAAACTAAGTTCAGATTTGTGTTAATCGTCGAGATTTGTAAAAAAATCGCTTTTGATTTTCTGCACTATTACAACATTTCACTAAATATAATTAAAATATGGCCGATTCTAGTCGGAATAAGATACGCATGCGATACGCATGCGCAATGGGGAGAAACTACGACTTAGCGGCGATGTTTTCGATGGTACTGCGCATGCGTCTGTTTACAACCGCAGAACCCTAATACCAACCCTAATCCTATCCTTAACCCTATCCCTAATCCTATCCCTAACCCTAATCCTAACCCTAGCCCTAATCCTATCCCTAACCCTAACCCTAGCCGTAATCCTAACCCTAATCCTACCCCTAAACCTCATTCTAGCCCTAACCCTAGCCATGGGTCACTGCGCATGCGCAGAACTATCTTTTGCCGAAAAATCTTATTCCGAGTAGACACTTCGTTAAAATATTATCATTATATAATTTTAGAAGTGAATGGCAGATAACGCAACTTACAAGTCACTAAAGGAGGAAAATATACACTGGAACTTAGATTATTATAGTAGCTGTCTCTTGGTAAATCAGTTCTTATCTTCAAGCTATATACAGTTCCTGGGACAAGATTAGTCAAAGTTGCTTCAGAAGCTCCAGAAGACACGTTTACTAACGTGACTAAGCTGGTTGCATTAATGATGGCATAAGTAGCATTGGCTCTGTGTACAGCAGCAGCCCACCAGCGCAAATTGACGCTGTGTGTTCCTATTGTGGTCCATCCTGGATATCTAACCTGTAAGTAGCTCACTAATTTTTTTTTTAAGTGAAAGTGTAAAATAATCAATGAGTTTATTTTAATAAGCAAATAAATTAAAACTATTGAATTTTGTATCTCTCTCTCTCTCTCTCTCTTTCTATCTTTCTATATATATATATATATATATATATATAGGCCTATGTATATATATATATATATATATATATATATATATATATATATATATATATATGTATATATATATATATATATATGTATATATATATATATATATATATAGGCCTATGTATATATATATATACATATATATATATATATATATATATATATATATATATATATATATATATATATATATATATATATATATATATATATATATAATTTGTCGGTATAGCGAGATCAGAGTATCTACACTATGTTTAGACTTTTAAAATGCGTACTTATGTAGAGAATAGCGGCTTATGCTATACCACGGGTCGGCTCGTCTAATATATATAGCTCAAATGGACTCTGTATCTCTGTATGTATGGAGCGGACAGCGGTTGGTCGGACACGTGGAACACTTGAATATAGTAAAAAGTTCGACGTGATCGCAATAGTGTAAATTCTTAAAGTTTTTATTCTTTTACTTAAGTCTAAATTGATGTTTAAAAAAATCAATATTGATGTTTTTATAAAAAAATGTTCCTTTTTTAAACTGATCATTTTAAATGTCATGTGGAAAGAACAATATAAAATTAAATGTATTACCCTTCACAAAAATTCTGAAAAAAAAAATGTATACATTACTTCCCTTAGTTCCTAAGTACCAGTTACAATCCTTGATAAATCACAAAAAAAAAAAAAAAAAAAAAAACATCGGGAAAAAATACTTTTATTATTTTGTTTAAATATTGAAAAAAATTAAATAATTAGCATGGATTGATATAGTGCATTGTGGTAGGTAAAACAGGGGTATTTTAAATACTATCTTTTATTTATTTTAAACACTGAATGTACTATTTACTAATTATATGTTTGATCAATAACAATTTAGAAGCCGTTCCTAAACGTTAAATCATATCTTTCCATTTGCGAATAAGATGGAGTATTATAGTCGTTCACTAAATGGAGTCCTGAGCGTCCGCTAGCGCCCCGACAGAGTGTTACTTGGAGCCCCGAAGCTTACCATTAGCGCTATTGTGCCTACGTTCGTTCTATACATTGCGATATACAATGGATAAGGAGGGTTACTATAGTCCTTAAATAAATCGAATCTAGGGCATCGTTCGGCGCCCTAACCGGGTGCTATTTGCCCCGTTCGTTTAGTAAGTTCTAGGCTCCCGACTAATAGGCTCCCGTTATATAGGCTCCCGACAAAAGCGCTCCAGTCAATAAGGCTCCTGACAAATAGGCTCCCGTCATTTTGGCTCCCGACATATAGGCTCCCGTCATTTAGTTTTTTCCACAAAACGGCCCCCGTCATTACGACTCCCAACAAATAGGCTCCCGCCATTTAGTTTCTGCACAAAATGGCCCCCGTCATTACGACCTCCGACAAATAGGCTAGCGTCATTTAGGCTCACGACAAAAAGGCTCCTGTCAATTTGGCTCCAGACAAAAGGACCACTGACGATACCGTTTCTGTAGAGAATAAGTCTGCCGGCAAAGCGGTGTCATTGAATATGACACCTGTCAGTGGGACCCCTTCATCAATATTCTTTAGAGTTAGCTTATCCAACACGCTTAAGTAATACAACGTAT